CAGTACAAGCAAACTATATTGCATTCTTGATCATCCATTAGTTTCATCATGCCAACAGTTTATTTTAGAGGGAAACCAAAGATGGAAGACGAGCTTTTTTCTTTTCCAAGATAATAATTCTCTCAATCACCAAATCCATAGCGAAATATACATAAGTTCACTGGCTGATTCATTCAGCCTACCAGAGGCAGTTGATAGATTAGTTGGAATTACAAGGACCTACAATAGTTGTTTAGTTTCCTTACTCTTGCATATTAATCTATAGGGGCTTTGGAACTGGTGACTTATTTTATTAGCTCATCTTGGAAACTGGAGCAACAGTAAAGTTGTCTCCATGTGACCTACAAGGTCACAGATTCGAGCCGTGGAAGCAGCTACTAATTGCATTAGGGTAGATTGTCTATTTCACACCCCTTGTGGTGTGGAACTTCCTCGGACCCTGCTAACGCAGCATGTTTTGTGCTCCAGCTCCCATTATCTTGGAGGGATTTATTTTTATGAAAGATCCAAGTTCTTCCTTTATTAAGGTAAAAGAGGAAGATGACAATGATTAGCAACTATTTATTTGCTAGGTCCCTTCCATTTTACTTGCTAAATCGATTGTATTAGGGGCTTACCCATCCACAGAAGTGGTAAAGAGTATGAGGAGAGTGAGTGTATAACACAACAGTCTTCCCTTGCATTTCTATGATGAGACTTTTCACACAAAATTTGAGGTGTGGAAGCAGCTTCTTTGGGAAGATGTAAACTGAAGAGACTGTACAATATACATCCACTCTTCCATTTATTTTGTGCGATATTCCAGTTCATAGAAGTTAATTTCACACAATTCTCATCCTAACTTGATCCAATTCAATCTTCTTTGACAGGATTGTGATTTGAGTTTAGAATTATTTTGAGAGGATTGTGATTGTTGTTGTTGTTGTGATGCTTCACGAGTCCATTTAGGATGTGTTTTTGTTGAATTTTGATTTTTATAATAAACAAACGATAGCATATGCGACTAGACACTAGAGTAATTTTCCGCGAAAGGCTCCTACGAGATAGTAGTGGACCAGGAGAAAAGGGCTTAAGACACAGACCAATACCTTAGATTTCAGGGTATGAGAAGATATGAAATTGCTAATTAGGAGGGCTTACTAACTAACTCGGTTTTAATAGTTTTTTATCAAGTAAATGTATTTTCATTCATAAACATGGCAAAAATTAACCATATACAAGAGGAATACAAAAAAGGTAAATAATCTACAAAAAGAAATGATTCTCTACAAACTTCATCCAACCTTCTATACAATTGGGAACTTTATGGGTGCACCAAAAGAATATAAGGGATCAGTGGCTACTCCTTAATTAAGCAAAGCTCAACTCTACCCTCTCAAAAGCTCTCCGACCACATTAACGCAAGTGGAACCATGTTCCAAGCCCCGAGTCTTCTCCTCCTTCTCCCGCTCTTCCAACTGAACATCAACTCTTTCATAGTTCGTAGCATAGCCCAAGAAGTACCAAACCACTAAAACATATTCCCCCATAGCCTCATGGTAAGACCACAATGAAGAAGAAGATGAATCCACATCCTGCCCGCCTGCACATATAACACTAGCTAACGCAAATAACCTTACACTTTCTAAGATTTCCGCCGTCAAAATCACCCATCTAGTAGCTAGCCAAGTGAAAACACACACCTTCCTCGGCACCTTTGGTATCCACATTGTGTTACAAGGGAAAACACTTCCTCTTCCCCACCCAAAAGTTTCTCGTAAAAAGACTTGATGAAGAACATGTGATTCTTCCCCAAACCCTACAACAAAGCATCAATATTATCTACAATTGTAACTTGCATATGGAGTAGAACCAACAATCTTTGAAACTTAGTCACTTCCCTCCTAATCGTGAAAGTCTCCTAAATCTCAAGTCCCAAAAAGTTTCTCCACCTTATGTCCCCCTAAATTGTTGTATTGTCAAGTCTCTTTGGCAAGATATTCTGTGTAAGCTTGAAATATCTTTCAATAAATTATTCTCACACCACCTATGACCCCAAAAATTAACTTCCCTCCCAAAATGCATACACATTTCTAGATTTCCACTCCCTTCCATAGCCCCATACTTATGGACTATTACCCCTCTCCAGAAAAACATTTATCTCCTCCCCAAATCTCCACAACCAATTACCCAACAAGGCTTTGTTAAACACCTTTGAGTCTTTAATACCAAGCTCTCTCCATTTTTTAGGAGACATGACAGTCTCCCACTAAACCAAGTGGAACTTCCTTGCCCCATCCGCCGCGTCCCAAAGGAAATTTCTTTGGATCCTTTCCAACTTTCTATGATTGAAGATAGAGCATGAACCAAAGAAAAGAAATAAGTGAGGATATTCGATAATGTGCTCTTGATAAGCACTTCCTTCCTGCCTTTGGACAAGCATCTTTTCTGCCACCTGCCACCCCTGAAGAACTGGATTCCACACCCAATGATCTCGACGCACCTAAAGGTAATCCAAGTAGGTAGTTGGGAGAGCCCCAACCCTACAACTTAGAACCTGGGAAGATTGATCGATGTCTTCCACCTCCCCAACGGGCATAATCTCACACTTCCTTGAATTAATTTTAAATCCTGACACCACCCTGAACCAAGTAAGCACTTGGCCAAAATAATCCAATTGGGTCACATTTGTCTATTGTTAAAGGAGAAGTGATAGGTTCTGCCATAATCCTCCTAAGCTTACAAATTCTCCCAACCATAATGCTAAAGAAGAAGTGATAGCTTCAAAAAGGAAGTAGATTAATGCAATACTCTTTGTGGATGGATTAAGGTTTTTAATATCATAGCCTGCTTCAAGAAGTCCAAATGCAAAAAATGAATTTAATTCAATGTAGTAGAAAAACCTTACCCAAGCTTGCAAGAACCTCGACCTAGTGCGTGCAGCAACAGCTGCAGACACCATTCTTGCAGCCCGAGTACTCTCAAGTCCAACATTATCAGCAAGCCCAGCAACAAAGTTTTGTGCTTCTTCACCATCAATTAGAAGAAAAGTTGACTGACTTGCAGTGCTGCAGAAGAGCAAAGAAGAAGAAACTATAAGAGGGTAAAAAGATGCAAAAGAGGGCATTTAGCAATCAGTCATCAAGCTAAACGAGCTACCTTTCACAATAATTAAGAATAAAGTCGACTGCCACGCGAAAAAGCGTATCACGTGCATTCTCAGTATCAAACGAAACTTTCACGTTTGATATCCTCCCTATGCGTCGTAACTACAAATGGACCAGCATGTTAGCACAAAGTAGAGTATAGCTTATGTTCTTGGAAAATAAAAAATCATAAATTTTTTTTTGAACTTGAAAAAAAATAAATCATAATGATGTCGAACAATTCTTTAATCCTTTCCTCCAGTGAAGTAACAGATTTTTTGAAAAGGAAAAGTGGAACTGAGACGGTACCATGCAAAATAAAAAGGCTATCTAAGTATAGTTTTTGGATATAATTCACAGTTACTATTCTCAAAAAAAAAAAAAAACTTTGATATTTGGATTACTTCATTCTTATAATTTCCTTTCCTGAAATGGAGCTCACATTCCCACATATTTATGTGTATAAAGTTGCAAACTGCGTGCTCAAAGGGCTACTTGGAGCAAAAGAAGTTAAAATGGTCTGTGTGACAAACTCATAAATATAAAGGGGGCTGCAAACAAAATAAAAAAACTAAGAAACTATGCAAACAATTCACATTTGTATAAAAATAAAGATTGTGAAAACTGAGAAGCCATTAACATACTGACTTGAATTATATCATCCGCCAAAATGTCCTTCCCCGTCATTCTATTGTCCAAGATGGCTGGAAAGCAAATTTGTAAACTGTGATTTAAAAGGAAGTGCATAACTAACAATCATCGTGGATGCTAGGAGTTCATGTCTTCCATTCTTCAATGGATTAAACAATATGACAATTCAGACATGAAAGAAGAGTTGCACAACTATGAAGGAAAAAACAGCTGCATACCTAACAATAACCTGGAAAATAAAATTACCTCGAATCAATCTATTGGCCATTCTCTGATACTCTTCTTGATTCTCTGCCCCAACTTGATCGGAACCAGAAGTCGAAACAGGCCACCATTTAGGCAATTGCTCCACAGAACTCTTCTTCTTTCGCCTCCTGGAAAAGCTAATTGGACTATCCCTATCCCAATCCCAATTACTGTTTCCTTCATCACTATCCAAGACATTTGGTTTCTTCCTATCAAGCGTAGGCGTCTCATTTTTAGCAACAAGTACTTCTCTTCCACCTAAACTACGGTCTCTCTTATACACTAATTCAACGTTGTTGTTTCCACTGTTGAGTCGTATCCCCCGCACTAGGTTAACAATAGCCCTAAGAGTGAAAATAAGTAGGAAACTGGAAACTACTAGAGTTGCTAGGAATTTAACGGTGGACCTTGTGCAGGAGAAGGAAAGTCTCCCGGCATCGGTATCTACACGGATGAGAGTTCGCAAGTCTTCAATGGCGGCTCGGCCTGAGTGGAGGAATTCTCCGAGCTTCAAGTGGAGGAGGTCCTTGATTGAGTAGAAGGATTTGGTAGGCAAATTATCGACGGTAAGGACAAAGTGGAGGTTTTGATCGGACGGTGGAGTGTCTTCGGTGGAGAACTTTTTAAGGCGGCGGCGGAGATGGCGTCGACGGGGAAGGGAGGGGGAGATTCGCCGAGAACTGACGTGGTAGTGACGACATCGTTTTGGAGAAGTGAAGCGGATGGAAGGTGAGAGTGAGATGTTATTATAGAGAGAGAGGTTCATGGCATTTGTGTGACAAATACTACTACATAGAAAGAATAAAGTTGTATGTATTGTAGAATGCAGAGAGACAAAAAAGAAATTGAGCGAAACGAACGAACATACAGTTGGGAATCTCTTTTCAGATTCCCAATTATATGCGAGTGGAATTTGAGCATGAAATGAATTATTGTATCACTCAACAATTTGCTTGAAATTACAAAAAAAAAATGATGTTTACTTCAATTTAGTACATTATCCAAATTCACAAGGCCGAGATAGCATAATCTAACACATCCTTGTAAATAAACATCAACACTGATCTATCATCAAAATTCGAATTGATTACAAGAATATATGAAAGAATTGATAACTGTAAACTGTTTACAAGAAAATCATGTGTAACAAACACTACAAGTCTTTTTGTAACTTATACAACATAGGTAGGCTCGTATTTGTATTGCATGACAACTATACTGCTGTTGTCTGTCTACCTCACATATCCTTCTCTCCAGGAGAAACAATCCCATGAAGCAGAGGGATTGACCACATTTTGGAGAGAAGAAAAAGAGAGACAACAACACTGTTTCTTCTTTTATTTGTTCTCGATATTACACTGAATGACCTTGTATTCTACACTCCCTGTAAATGCTCACCACAAAATGTGCTACAAATGACCTACAATAACAATTTTTGGGTAAGCAAACTTGTATTTACACAAGAAAAAATTTCTAATTACAATAAAACAAGCACCATATCCAGGAACAGAGTTTCAAAGACCAACAAATACCAAGACATGCAGGATATAGTTCTCACGTCAATCTGGTGGAACAAGATGCATTTTAGTTGTAAATCATTCAACATACATGGAATCTGACAACGACATTAGCATAGCTTCTCGGTGTCTATATCTACATCTCATAACATTGATAACTGAAAACAGCATAACTTACTCTACTTAAACCTCAGACTGGAAACTACTTGATATAAACTGTTCTTTAATAAGTGTAAAATAAAACAATATTAATGGAATCTGTTGATGGTGAAATTATTTATTCTTCTAGAACAGTTCATTTCATTTGCAACACTCTACCCTCCCTAGACTCCACTGTGTGTGATTACCACACTGGGTATGTTGTTGTTGATTAGTTCTTTTCATACATATCAAAATAAAAAGAGAAACAGGACATGATATACAATCCCATTAGATGACCAAGGTGCCAACCAAACTCTCCTAGTCTTCTTTTTAGTCCTCCCACATGTTTCCCATGAATAAGTGCAACCAAGAGACATATCCATAAACCATAAAAAGTTTGAACATTGTCTTAATTTATGTGTATCCAAGTTATTAACTGGGATCAGAAAGTATAGAAACATTAGCAGACTTACAGTTCAAGTAGCTTCATCTTGGAAGAAGTGGCTGTCTTTCATCAGGTCCTACTCGATGACTTGCCTGGAAAAGAAATTAACATGAAATCCATCCAAGTTAAGTAGGAAATACAGCAAAAACTTTGTATCTAAAAATTTCTGAAGAAAAGATCCATACCTCCTCATTTGCTCCTGCTGCCATATTTACAAAGGATGAATCTTTAGGGCTGAAAACAACACAAGAGGGAAGTATTAACAGATGCAGCTTTTTAAACTTAGGGGGGGTGGTAGGGGTCAAAAGGAGGGATGAAGAGAGTGAACATGCATCTCTGTGATGTACACACCTAAAAGATTAGCATTTGTTTCATATCCATTTTTCAATAAATGGATTTGATGTTATAGTTGGAAAACAGCAAGGAATAAAAGAAACTTGCACAACTAAGTTCTCACGAAGTATTTACCAGCATCAAAAAAGAACTTATTAAATGCTTCTGTACATAGTATGGCTAATGTCAATCATCACTCAATAGAAATTTACGTATGGCTTGTTGTCTTAGTAAGTGAAACTGGTATTTATCTTGCACAGCAAAGGACCTTACGCCAATAATAACTTGTAACTAATCTTTTAATTATTATTTTAAGAAAAAGGTCATGCATTCATCATATCAAGCAACAAGGAGGTAATATTTGCATAAATAGAAACAAAAGAAACAGAAGCACCCCTTCAGCTATGCAGGAAAGCAATAAATTCACACATTTTCTAAACTGATTACATCTGGACCTTGATACTTCGAAATACATAAATAAAGACAAGAGTAATCCAATGATACGATATAAACTTAAAATGACATGATAAAAGTCACGGCCAAGAGAAATTTGTGAAGCTGAATTACATGCAGAACTACATCTGCTACAAGAAAAGATGGCTATATAGTTGGATTATCGTGTTACTCATTCGGCAGACACAATCATTTTCAATGAATGGACGTACCGGGAGCAAGCCATCAGAATCCTGCTTTCCCTCACATTCTCAGCATATATAAGAAACTAAAATAGAATACAGAAAGCAGTATCCTAAGAACCAGTAGCTGACAAGGAAAGATAACTTGGGGCTGAGATATAGTTTTACTTTACACTAAACAAGTAAAGAAATTGGGGATGAGACATAGTTTTACTTTACACTAAACAAGTAAATACCTATGGTTCTCCCGGACCTCAATCAGCTCCACTGTCCCGTTTTGTTGGTCATCTTTAACTTTTGAAAGAGGTGAAAAGAACTGAAGTATCAAAGTTAAATGATCAACCCAAAGAGAAAATGGGAAATACCAGAGGGACAACTCTCTCAAATTTAATACCTGATGCATTGAGATGAAAACAACAGAAATCCCAAGAAGAAAGTTTACGGTCAGTGTATGACCAAACAACAAAGCAGATGCTATGCCTGTAAATATTGTTGCAACGGTCGAAGAATACTTCTTCAGAATCGTATCTGGTACAAATAAATTGTGTTATACAGCAGAATACCATAAAGGAAAAAAAATTCTAGTTAAAAGTGAGATGGGTTACGCAGAAGCACCAAGTAGAAACATATGAAGAGCAAAAAGAAAGTGGAGCAAATTGAGTAATAATCTCACCAGCATATTTGAAAAAAAAGGACGACAGAATTCCTTGCGCTGCATTGTTAACAATTAGAAGCATGGTTGCCTTCGAATGACCCTGAAAAATATCCAAGCTACCAGGACCTGAAAAATTCAGAAGAAACATTACAGAGGCTGGAGGAATATTATCCAACAAAGGCCTTGCTTTGAAGTAAAATCATTATACTGATTGGTAGTCTGAAGTAGGATCATCTTGATCCAGGATCTCATATATTGACACTTTAATTACCACTATGGAGAAATTTTTTAAAACGAGGACAGAATTTCCACACAGGTTACAAGCATAGACATATATGTCATCATGAAGGTTCCCAATGACCACTCCACTACTATAAGAGAAGATATATACACACCTGATTGCTTCCCAAACTATACAACATTTGTGTTTTACCATTAAGAGATTCAGTATTATGATTTGTGATAAGATGTAATGATAAGATCTTCAACCACTATGAGTCTATGACATTACAGTAACACGATTTACACTATGAGGGAGGAGTGTTGTCACTTGCAATTTTGCAGGTTTTCTCCAGGCGGTACATTCTAATCCAGGCAAGTGAAATAATGTGGTATTTATAACTGTAACAGTTTACTTGAAGTCTGAAGATAAATCATGAAAGCAGGGATCTAAGAACTATAATGATATTAAGATAGCAGAGTAACAGTGTTATTTTTTTGACACAATGGGAAAATTAGTAAAGTCAAGTGCAGTTTTATTTAGTCAGTTATTATTTGCCTGGTCATGTACTCAATTGTGATTCATAGGAAAACCCTCAGAATCAACTCATTACCTTTAAATACAGCAATCCCAAGAATGGCTAGAAAGTTGAATATAGCACCATATCCATATAGAAATAAGTTCTGCAAATTAAATTGCAACATGTCAGATGGTTCAGGAAGAGAGTGCTGATAGAAGTCCCGCCCGTCCTCTATGAATGGAAAAATTAGCATAATCGCTGTTGCTACAGAGACAAAACCTGACATGCATCAGTTGAAGTCCTATAACTGGACAACAGATGCTGCTCTAGGATAAAGATCAGGCAAGGAAAAAGCTAGCACAAACAGTGAAACTGAAAGAAAATCTTTATATGTTCATCATACCAAGTACTCTCATATGGAAATATAACTAAATTACAATGTTACATTTTTATCATAAGAAAGACCTGCTCTTCATATTAAATCTAAATTTATCTTAATTAAATTACTGTGTTACATCTTCCTTATTCCCTTGTACAAGGCATTCGAAGTCAGAATTTACCGTTGACGAATGTTCATGGACATTTCTTAAATGCGCCAAGTCTCCAAAGAATCAAACATTGCAGTAAACTGGCACTGATAAGTACCTCAAGTATAGGAACATAAAAATTATACATCCATTCAAAAGTAATAATTGTCCCAGGAAAGAAGGCAGTGGAAAATAATGAGCCAATCTAACCACAGAACATTCTGATGATACAGAAATAAGAAAATGATAATTAGCCATGGTAATTTTACCTGGAGATATATGCTAGTGTCATATTGACTCTTCAAAGCATACTCATTGAATACTGAGGCCATAGAAGGCACAGTTACCTGAGCAAAAGAAAAACCCTCCTTTAGCCAGTAATAAACAAGTATCTTAAATGATGTCCAGGCATTTACTAAGGCCTTCTCCAATAACAAACAAAATAAAATCGGTAGTAAGTTGCTAGGTTGTTTAAATCACTTACAAAAATCATTGTATAGATGTATGCAATTGTGGTAACTGGAAGAGCCAAAGAAGTAGTGTCTTCAGGAAGGGATCGAAGTTGATTAATGCTTATCCCAATTAGCAACAAAGCAAGAGCCTCCCACTGTAACATAATAACTCTTATTATATGGGTATACAACTTCCATCCTGCAAGAAGTTATACAGGATGCCTTGCTCTTTCCTGCCCCTACAATCAATATTGCACCTCCAGCTTATTTTACTAGTTTGAAACAACTAACCTGAATAACGGAAAATCGCCGTTTCATGATAAATTTCAACAGCACTGCAATAACCAAAACCTGCACTTTGACAGCAAAGAAACAAATATTAAAGAAAAGCTCTACCATAGCATAATATTCAAGAAAGTATTCTGAAATATATCCTTTATGCAGGTGTATAATTTTGAAACTGAGAAATCATCACCTGATATGTAAAGTCTCAGGTATCGAAAAAGAAATAACCACATTTTTTCCCAATAAGCAAGTACCAAGAAGGTACTAAAATCATACAAACTACAGAACAACTGCAACTGTTACATTCTCAAAGCTTCTATAAAATCCATGTACTGATTAAGAAGACAACTATTCTTAACGCTAGCTAAATGATTCTCCCGATTCTGAAAACATCTCTTATTCCTTTCCAACCAAATGGTACAAAAGATGCAAAGAGGTATCATTTCCCAGATTTGCTTTTCATTTTCCCGACTTTCTGATTTTGCCAACAAATCAATAGATCTCTCACATTCTTTGGCATCATCCATTTCACACCTGACACCACTCTGAGTTAGGAACAGAATTCATATCTGCTTTGCATGATTACAATGCATAAAAAGATGTTCGGCAGATTCCTGAGAATTTCACAGAAGAACTACACAAAGGAATACCCCTTCTTGTTATGATGCTTTAAAAATTTTAACACCCAATCCACCACCTTTACTGTCTTTTTCCTGCCATTTGATCAAATGAAACTTTTTCTGTTAGCATTTCCTTCCCAAAGGAACTGGCTTCTAGTGGAATTGAACCTCTTTTCAACACTCACTGGAATGGGAAAAAGTGACATCAAATATCATGTAGGAATTCCGTCCAGCACACAACTAATTAAAGTGAGCCTCCCACCAAAAGATATATACCCATTTATCCAAGGGGCCATCTTCTTAGAACATCTATCTAAGGCTCCTGAAAATAAATAACCACCTTAATAAAACTTTTTGGCTTTAGGTAATATTCACGGAGAGAGACAAGTGAACAAAAAAGAGTAGTCCTTTTTTTTCTGCCCTGTAAGAAGGATGTTAACAGATAACTTTGGACATTCTAGAAAGATGCTAAAACAACTCCTTCATTAGATTAAGCACCAGCTAAAGACTGCAATCTATCAACAAAGAGTGCTTCATGGACTTCCAACCACATTGCTTGAAATTTCAAAAAGAAAATAGTTCTATGCACTGGCAGCTTCCATAATACAGATTAAGATGGGGGCAATTTCAGTCCAGTCCTGAACCAAAAATTGTGGAATCTAATCCAGACAGATTTGGATCAAGAAACAATGGCAACAACAATAATGTTTCAATCCCAAATGATCTAGGGAGATATCCGTACCGTATGGAAGTTGATCCAAATTTAGGTTTCATCCAGAGTTGGTGAATACAGGGATGAAGTTGGATTGTGCTAACTGAATTTAGCTACATTGCATTTTTACAAATGTGGTGTCTAGCCAGATCGAGCGCACCTCGACTAATTCCACAGAGTTCCTACTACCTCCCACCAATACAGGACCAGGTAACTCTATCCCACCAAAAATCAAAATGTAGCAGATGATGAAAAGAAAGAAGAAGAACCAGAGTCAATAAAGTAATTGACGAATTCAGCAGAAAATCGGCAAAAGCAGCAAACACAATCAGATGATAAGTTGTAGAAGTGTTCAAATATAGCAGTTACCTTCAGATTGCTTAGCATCTTCACTGTTGCTGGGTTGAAATATAACTGTACAAAAATATTTGAGGGAAAAAGTGAGAAAAAGGAGAACTGTGGTAAAAGAAATTCCAGAGTGTATAGCCTGGTAGCTAGCAAGCTGTGACTTAAATGTTATATTGGACAGTGAAAAGATCTTAATAGAAGAAGAACAGTCAATCAAATATGTATTCATGACTCAGTAGACTCCAAGCCAAACATGAATCAAGTTTTATAGAGGTGTCTCGATAACTGATAAAGTGAATGGGGATGTATAGAAAAGAACCCATAAACCGATACAGAGTTACAAAAATGAATTTAGTCCTTCATTTACATCTAAGCCATGAGAGGGAAGAGTCAAGACATCACTTGTCTTCTACAGCACCATGATATGGCATGTTTAATTGTCTATACATGCCAGACCTTCTTCCAGTAGGGCCTCTAACAATGGTAATTGGTTATTCAGCAGCCTCCCTTATTTAGAATTCTTAGTCGTGCTAAGGACAAAGTGACAGCCAGCAGAAAATATTGTGCACAGAAGCATTCTAGCAAAACCAGCATAGTATATTGACGCCAGAGATAGAAGTTTGTTATTTATTAACAAATACCTATCTCTATTGAATCATCACTCTATGTACTCAAGCAGCATTCAGATTTCTTATTTTGAGGTATAAATCCAACTGCCTAGCTCAGAAGTCAATATGTAACCTTAGAAAGTAGTACTGGATATATCCCAAGTTTTGAGACAAACAGGTAAAGTTTTAGAGCAACTTTTCTCATGAAACATCTGTAATTCTCTATGAATACCATGGATGAAACAAGACAATGTTCCAACTTTGTAGCTATGTACAGTACAAGTAACAATGCAGAGGCAAAATGTACGATGCTGGATGAGATAATAAAACTATGGGAATTACTCAGAGAACTGACAAGCACAGAAAAGCTCAACAAATAGTACCTGCATGATGAACTTTAGGTAGTTATTTATGGCATAGAGTAGTGCTGGTACAGCAAGAAGCACATTGTTTCGTGCAGCCTGAAGAAAAAAAATGGATGTAAATTATCAATTAATAGTAAGCCTGTTGAATGACTTGGTAGCATGTTTGCACAACAATACATGGAAACTAACACACACATGCATGTCAAGACTGTAAGATTTCAGTTACACACAACAGCTATCAAGTAGTCAACATAGAATCTGAAATCTATACAAAGACTGACAACATCAATTCTCTAAGAAGCTGAAGTGGTGGTTTAATAGAATGGTGAAGGACAAAAAAGTTAACCAGGATGCAGATAAGAATTAGTCGATTTTAAAATGGAACTGACAGTGCAACAAAGAAAAGTGAAGCTCTCATGCAGTCAAACAATCTACAAGGTATCAAAAGTCTTAAAATCTTTTTTGATAAGTCAAAATTTTCATAACTAGGCACCAAGCAGGTGTCAAAGTATGTATAAATTGTTTCTATGACTCAGCCGGAGCTATTTACTGGCATTTATCAAGTTGCCAATCATATACACAACTGTGAAAGGCAACAACTGGAGCTCCATTTTTTTCTTTTGCTAAGTGACATCAACTGGAGATCTTTCAATAAATATCCTACATTTGTTCCTTTTTTTTTCCTCTCCACCCCTCACTGACACGGTCTTGTTGTTTATGGACCTTAGGTCGCATAGAAGCTTAAGAAAGAGGAAAACTGTAATGACTCCGCAGGACAAGTTGGACAACAACAGGCGTAGTACCAGGTACAAACGAGTGCCACAATACCTGGACCACTACGTGGTCCCAGATGCAAAAGGGAAACACACTCTGATAGCAAAAGAGCATGAGTAATAGCTACTAGAGTAGTATAAGTAGTGGCAGATTTCACTAAAGAAGGCATGGATGAACTTGCTTTTCTTTTAGTTGCTTAGAATAGATCTGGAACCTCCCTTTTCTTCCTTTTTCCTTTGTTTTGCTTCTTGTTATTCCCAGAAGAAGAGGAACAGGTCCCTCTTGTGACCTGCAACTAGTTCATCTTTAATACAAAGTTCCTCTTGTTACATTTGGTGCTTTCATTGTCCCTCCTTCTACCATGGGTGATGGTGCACACAATACTCGCCTCAAATCTCTTGATGAGGCTGTGAAACAACTTCAAGAACAATCTGTTGGCCATGCTAAAGCCGTGGAGTCCATCAACACTGCCTTACAAGATATTGTAACTCAACTGGCTTCGTTGCGTCCTTCGTCGCCAGCGCCATCTCTAGTCGCTGGTAGCCCTTCTTCAGTTTTGGGTCAATCATCTGTGCCACTTCCACAAACTTTTTATCAGCATACTCCCCCACCACCCACACTGAATCGGCAACCCCCAGTACACCAGGTGCTTCCAGTTCCACCCCATGGCCTTAATCCATTTCGACGTGATAAACCGGCACCGATTGACTTGGCTAAGTTTGATGGAACCAACGCAGAGAGTTGGGCTTTCCAAGCTCATCAGTATTTTGACACTTACACTGTTCCAGATGAGCAACGCTTGAATGTATGCTCTTTCTTTCTAGAGGGAGATGCACGAGATTGGTATCAGTGGATATACCGAAATCGCCAACTCTGTGGATGGGACCACTTCCTTAGGGCTCTTGCTACTCGTTTTGGGTCTAAATCAATGGAGGCACCAGAAAGCTTGTTGGCAAAACTACAGATGCAAACCTCCGTTCGTGACTATCTTTCTCAATTTGAGAAACTGGCCAATCGTACCTCTGATGTATCGCCGCCTTTAATGAAGCATTTTTTTACCTCTGGACTTCACCCTGATATTAAATCAGATGTTCTGGCTTTTCGACCCGCGGACCTCAATGAAGCAATTAGTCTGGCCTTTTTGCAAGAGCAAAAAAAGTTGGCCCAAGCTGGGACGATGACCCGGCCCAACTATCCGTCAAAAATTCCTGCCAGCCCATTTTCTTTCCACACCTCTCCTAGCCCTAAAAATCCGACCCTTTCTTCAAGCTCCTCAGCCCCGACTGCATCTATTCCAGGTGTTGGTCGTACATCATTCAGGAAGCTAACACCGACAGAGCTTCAACGAAAACGTGAACTTAACCTTTGTTTCAATTGTGATGAAAAATATCACAAGGGTCATAAATGTTCATCCATCCCTCAACTCTTTTTACTTCTTGCCGATGATGATACTACAGAGGACTCTCCTTATGACTTGTCTCCACCCCCATAGTTATGGTCGAAAATGGCCAAGCGATGTTTAGGTGTCGTTCGTGGTGTAGCACTCACCATTCAGGGCTTCTCCTTTGTCACAGACTTCTTTATTATTGACATGCATGGTTCGGATTTGGTCCTTGGAGTTACTTGGTTGGCCACATTAGGTCCATGTTTGACGGACTATGTCAATCGTACTTTTGAGTTTACACTGGACGGGAAACATCACCGATGGCAAGGTGATCCTGCCCCCTCTCCTGCCCAAATTAATATGTCCACTCTCAGGCGCTTCACTAAGACAGATTCTATTTCATATTTTCTCCGTCTAGATCTTCAATCTTCTACCCTCATATCACCATGCCATCACCCCCCTGACTTAGCCACTCTTCTAAATTCTTTTCCAGAGATTTTTCATCACCCGTCCTCTTTACCACCTCAACGACCACAAGATCATCGCATTCCCCTCTTGCCAGGAGCTAATCCTGTAAATGTCCGGCCATATCGTTACCCCCACTTCCAAAAAGCTGAAATTGAAAAGCTTGTTTCTGAGATGCTCAAGTCGGGAGTTATTCGTCCCAGCTCGAGTCCATATTCTTCACCAGTGTTGTTAGTGCGTAAGAAGGATGGTACTTGGCGCTTTTGTGTGGATTACAGGGCTCTTAATGCTATCACTGTTAAGGATAGATTTCCAATCCCAACCGTCGATGAGCTTTTTGATGAATTGCACAATGCTTGTGTATTCTCTAAGTTGGACTTATTAGCCGGATACCATCAAATTCGCCTCCATCCCCCAGATATCAAAAAGACCGCATTTCGAACTCATGAAGGCCATTATGAATTTACTGTGATGCCATTTGGTCTTTCGAATGCTCCATCTACTTTTCAATCAACCATGAATTCCATTTTTAAGCCATTTCTACTCCAATTTGTCCTTGTTTTCTTCGATGACATCCTAGTTTATAGCACGTCTTGGCAAGATCACTTACAACACCTTAGATCAATCTTTGATCTTCTCCGACAAAATTCTTTGGTGGTGAAGCAATCAAAATGCCAATTTGGGCAGTCTTCCATTTCTTACTTGGGTCATATTCTCTCTGAAAAAGGCTTACAAGTTGACCCTGAGAAGATTACTGCTATCGTTTCTTGGCCTTTGCCTTCATCTGTAAAGGATGTCCGTGCCTTTTTGGGTTTAACGGGGTACTATCGTCGTTTTGTCAAAGGATATGCCCAGTTAGCTTCACCCCTCACTGATCTTCTGAAAAAGGACTCATTTGTATGGTCCGATAAGGCTTCTGTTGCTTTTGCCAAATTGAAAGAGGCTCTTGGCTCCGTCCCTGTTTTATTCTTGCCTGATTTTTCCAAGGATTTTGTGGTAGAAACAGATGCATCAGGTACTGGCATTGGTGCGGTTCTTTGCCAAGACAGTCACCCAATCGCATTCTTCAGCCAAAAATTATCTTCAAGGATGCAAGCTGCTTCTACTTACAATCGTGAAATGTTTGCCATCACGCAGGCTGTTCAAAAGTGGCGCCAATACTTATTGGGCCGTCGTTTTACCATTTTAACTGATCAGCAACCTTTGAAAGCCCTTACAAGTCAGGTTATCCAGACCCCTGAACAACAACGTTGGCTTAGCAACACAAGTTAGGTTATCCAGACCCCTGAACAACAACGTTGGCTTAGCAAATTAATTGGGTATGATTTTGAGATACGCTTTAGCCCAGGCAAATTAAATTCTGCTGCCGATGCTTTATCTCGCGTCCCTGCCTGTTTTGCGTTATCTTTGGCCATCACTGAAATAGCTTTGGTTGACAAGCTTAAGGCGTTGAACAAATCCAATGAGGAATTATTAGCTCTCCAACAGAAATTGTTGAATACTCCAGATTTTATGTCCTCATTCTCCTTTCAGGAAGGTCTCCTGTTATTCAAGAATCGCCTGGTTATTCCCAAGGATGCATCTTTGCGTCTAATGCTATTGGAAGAATTTCATGCTTCCAAAATTGGAGGTCATGCAGGCGTCGCTCGCACATTTCACCGACTGTCTTCAAATTTTTATTGGGTTGGCATGCGATCTGATGTCAAGAAGTTCGTCTCTGAATGTCAAATTTGTCAGCAGATGAAGGATTCACAACTGAAACCTGCGGGATTACTGTCTCCCTTGCCGATTCCTTCTGAGATTTTTGCTGAAATTTCCATGGACTTTATTACAGGCCTTCCATCATCTCAGGGGCGCACTGTGATCTTGGTGATTGTAGATAGATTGTCGAAGTATGGACATTTTATTGCTCTATCTGCAAATTTTACCAGTCAAAAAGTAGCAGAAGTCTTTGTCCAAGAATTTGTCCGGTTACATGGTTTTCCTACCAAAATCGTATCTGACCGCGATCCCATTTTCATCTCTGAATTTTGGACGGAAATTAACAAACTCCAGGGAACTCATTTGGCCAAGAGTTCTGCTTATCATCCACAAACGGATGGCCAAACAGAGTCACTGAACAAATGCCTTGAAATGTATCTCCGTTGTTTTGCTACAGATACTCCTTCTACATGGGTCCCTCTTCTTCCCTGGGCAGAATTTTGGTACAATACTTCATACCAACACAGCTCCAAGATGACTCCTTTTGAGGCAGTCTATGGCCGGCCTCCTCCTATTGTCTCTCGTTTTGTGTTAGACAGCACTTCCAATCCTACAGTTTCGGGTTCTTTGCGACAACGCGATGAAACATTGGCTGTGTTGAAGTCTAATTTACTGCAGGCTCAAGATAGGATGAAGTTTCAAGCTGACAAAGGTCGTAGGGAGGTGATCTTTGATATTGGTGATTGGGTGTATGTCCGTCTTCGACCATATAGACAACTTTCAGTTCGTCTGCAACGCCATTCCAAATTGAGCAGGCGTTTCTTTGGACCCTTTCAGATCATTCAACGCATTGGTGATGTGGCTTATAAACTCGATCTGCCACCTTCTTCTCGAATCCATCCTGTGTTCCATGTTTCAGTGTTACGTAAGTGTATCGGCAAACCAACTAATCAGATTACACCTATTGAATTGTTGGACCAAACTCCCTCTGTCACACTTACACCTGAAGCTGTTTTAAAGACGAGAGATGTTACCAAAGGGGCACATAAGGTGCCTCAATGCTTTGTCAAATGGGTAGGTTTGCCTATTGAAGATGCAACTTGGGAGGACTCATATACCCTCTTGCAGCAGTTTCCTCACTTGAACCTTGAGGACAAGGTTCTTCTCCATGAGGGCGGCAATGTAATGACTCCGCAGGACAAGTTGGACAACAACAGGCGTAGTACCAGGTACAAACGAGTGCCACAATACCTGGACCACTACGTGGTCCCAGATGCAAAAGGGAAACAGACTCTGATAGCAAAAGAGCATGAGTAATAGCTACTAGAGTAGTATAAGTAGTGGCAGATTTCACTAAAGAAGGCATGGATGAACTTGCTTTTCTTTTAGTTGCTTAGAATAGATCTAGAACCTCCCTTTTCTTCCTTTTTCCTTTGTTTTGCTTCTTGTTATTCCCAGAAGAAGAGGAACAGGTCCCTCTTGTGACCTGCAACTAGTTCATCTTTAATACAAAGTTCCTCTTGTTACAAAAACCAGTTATTTGCAAGCATCAATTAGTCACCTAAATGATGTTTCTATTTCACATCAGACAAACTGACAACTGAAAGAAAAGGTGCAAAGCTAAGTAAAAAGGTTGAAGTTTTCCTTTTCCAGCCAAGTGCAAATTTGAATTGTCTATACGAAGAAGACAAAACTCATCTACAACAAAACTTGGCAGCTTGACACTACGTAGAAATATGAAGAGGGTCCAACTTCCAAGGTCAATCAAAGGAAACTCAAGCACGACAAAACTTGCAGCTCGAACAGTATGTAGAAATATGAGAAGGTTCTAATTTCCAAGGTCGGTCCAAATTATCTCAATGTTCAGCATGTCTTTTGCATTTGTCCCAATACAACTATTCTTTGACAATACTAGAAAAGTTCCTGTGTCTCTGGATCAACTCAATGTCTTCATCCTTATTCTTCACATTTTGGATCAACTCAATGTAATCATATTCTCGACTTATGTTTTTCTTTTAATAAGGTAACTTGCATTCATTCCAAAAACATCAGCATCTAATAATGCTGATGAAGCACTTTACAAACAGAAACCGAAAAAAAGAGGGCAGGATTGCTATTATTATCTACTTATGTTAATTCCTGTTTCACTCTTATGGAGCTAATATTCATACTTAAGAGCCTGGGATCTTGATATGAAGAAAGGTAGAACTCACAGCAACATATTGACTCTTCTGTGGAATGAATAAATAAAGGCATCCTGATATACAAGAGGAATTGTAGTAATTCTTGAATTTCTTTTCAGCAGACTATACCCAGTGAAGAGAAGCATTTAGTTCTTTTATCCAATATCAACTATACAAAGAATGTCCCAGGCAAGTGTAATATCCATCTTGCACCTTTTCTTTACTGCATAATATCATTAGCAGATCTTCACGATGACAGTTCCCTAAAACCATAATATCCTATCTTTCTTGACACCCATCCATTTGCATAAAGCTCAAATTTCCTTCTTGTATGTGTGGCTCCCCACCTTGGAGTTTTGGCAAACACCATAAGAGGTGTGGTAAAACTTTTCCTTTTATACAACTCATTATATCTACTTTTTTTAAAAAAAATTGTGGTGTCCGGGCCAGCTTGTGCACACCTCGACTAATTCAATGGGATACCTGCCACCTCCCACCACCTCCCACCAGTAACAACAACTTTGACAGACAGATGGGAAGAAACCACCTAATGATTTTGTCTCCGGTGGGATTTAACTCCTGATATCTTTCTTCCGTGCAGGATCTTACACAGAAATTAAATTGATGATTTGGAAAGCTGTTTAAAGCTTTCTGCGCCCAAAAGCAACAATACCCTTGTCCAAGACAGTCATCCAGGCTAGGCATCTTTCAAATCCTTAGTGTCATACATGGATATAGGTTAATCATGTAACAAGAGGACTCAATTGAGAGACTGGCTCCTCAGATATTACATCACTTACAAACCTTAAAGTGTCATAAAGAACATATGCAAGAATGTTGCTTTTACAAGGACATGATGAGCAATAAACTAGGTTTTAACCCACCCAGGAGAACTAAGAGCAGTTACAACACTCACACCAATGACATTTTACCTGTACAAATGTGGATATTGAAAGAAGTGGCTTTTCTCCAACCTTTTGATGCCTGGCCTGCGGAAACATTCCAACAACAAACATGAATTGAGCTATCGAAAAGAAAATCTTAGGAGTAAAACAAAAAACATAAAAATAGTGTACCTGGATTAAAAGCATTATTATTGCAAAGACGACTTTTGTCGCCTCTGTCAAGAAGTTGACACTTACGGGACTAAACTTGAATTTTCCATCCACTTTTGACATAAATACTAAAACAGGCTGAAAAGGGAAATAAAATACTGGGTTAGACATGTCTTTCTCATTTTTAAGCAGCAAATTTAAATGCTTTGCTGATGGAAGCAAGTGGCAAAAGATATGTAGTGACAGCTATAATTAACTATATTCAAGAGAAAAGCAGAAGTTTTTTATAAAAAAAAAGTCAAATGGTGATTGTTATGGAAAGAGCACAATCCACACAAAATCAAGAAGCTTAGTGAGTGTACACTTTACTGGTAGGATATTATCATTTGCATGCAAAAATTAAGAACTTTTTTTCTGATAACTGAGAAGAATACGAATAAACAATTAGAACATTTGAAAAGGACCGCTACCTGTAAACCAACCAGCATACAATCTCCTACAACCAATAGGACATTGAGAGCACGTTGCTTTGATGAAATCTTGCTTCTGTGTCGATCATATGCCCTTGAAATAGTTTTTACAGTTGGAGAAACCAGTTTGGAATGACAGACAGCGCATTCTGCCATACCGTTCTTCATGAGTCAACTGCTTAGTATTTCAGCTCTAAAGAAACTCACCTAAATACAAGAAACATGGTGATTGCAACCATATGTCAGAACAGAAAAATAGAAGGGCAAACAAATAAACAATCAAAGTAAGGCAACAGAGTAAGAAAAAGTTCTGGCAGTATACTTGTCAAATATAATTTAAGCATCAGAATTATAGTAGCTCATTTGTATCTTTTCAAGACTATCTCATATACCATTTAATGCTACACTCTAATAGCTAGTTCAAACAGCTTATACACATCAAGTGAAATACATGCACAAGTCACCCAGATCGTACATTTTCTCAATCTTGATATGTAACTACCATCAACCCAAACCGCATCTGCTGCATAAAAAAATATGTACATTGCATGTATCATTCATTCATTTCCTAGATGTCAAATGGGTGTAATACAGGTGTGGGGTACTTAATGATCACTCAACTTGATGTATCAGTAATAGTATGCACAGGTCTATATTGGATACACAGAGATAACGAAACATGGCTGCAAGTAAATAGAAAAGCTAAATCTGCATACATATTGAGTATATAAAAGGCAGTGGTGAATAAGTAACTTACTGAACAAATGCACTTGCTCTTTTTCAATTCTTACTGCAGCTGCAGCTGAATAAGTCCTGACTTCACCTCTCCCTATCATTCCAAGCAGAGATGATGAAAATGCAAAATTTAGAAAGCACAGATCTCACTATCCAACCGATAAAAATCAAATCTTTTTGCATGACAACAACTTCCCTATCCAGATAGTATTGAATTTGAAACGGATCAAGCATTTAACAAATCCATATTGATTCAACAAAAAAAGTAACATGAAATAGATCTACATGTCAAACTTATTTTAACATTTCTCATAATAAGCAAAAAGAGAAGAACTGACCTGTGAGAGAAGTGGGAAAAATCAATATGTTGGCGGGAAGACAAATATTCCGGCCAGATCCAGATAAGTCCGGCTCACCGACCGACGGACCGAGTTGAGCTGAGACGAGTAACTAGCAGGGAGTAAAAGTTGAAATTTGGAGATTTAGGAAGGGAATTGTGAAAGAGTTTGAATAGTGTTTGTTTGGTTGTTTTAAGATGCGGGGGGGAGAGAGAGGGAGGGAGTTGTAAAAGGGGCAATGGATTTAGTTTTTTTTTAATAAAGGAGGGAGAGGCTCTCTATCTATCACTTTGCTTCCATAGTAAAACACATTCATTTGGTGTGAAGTTATTGTCACAGACTATACTATACTATAGTTTTCTTCTTTCATGACAATATATATGACTAAGCTCTTACCAATTCATTTTCAAACCAACAAACTTTCTATATTCTTGCCTTTTAGGGGAATTCATCTATCCAATTCTTTAGACTCTTAAATTAAATATAACATCATTTTAAAATTTTGTAACTAGATTGTTCTAGTAACTTGTTTTTCAATCATAAAAAGACACCTTATTTGAAATGACACTAGTATAGGGGGAAGGGACAAAACAATAATAAAGTGTTATAAAAACTCAAAGACGTCACTCATGTGATGTGAGAGAAGTCAAATCTCCAATGAAAAACTCATATACACAAAGTGAATAAAATTATTGTGTCTATCTTTCAAATCTTGTAATTCGCAAAAATTCAATAACTCAAAGTACCCTTACAGAAATAACAATGTGATTATCAACATAGAAAATCATACTTAGGGACGACAGAGAAAAAAAGATGATTGTGCATTATTATTATTTTTATTTTGATATAAGTTTAAATGTCAAATTAATCTGCTAATGATTAAAATGGTTCAAAATTAAGCCTAGTTGAAGATCTAATTTGGAGATGGAAGGGGAGTTGGACCAGAATGAGTAAATAAGGCTGGCTCGTTGATGATGGAGTAGCCCATTTATCTATATTTATTGGGCCCTAATGGAGAAACAGTATTGGGCTATGCACATGTTCACTACTCCACTCCATCCCAAAAAAAGATGGACAAATTACTTAACTACACTCTTTTACTTACCTTAATATCCATTTATCCCTACTTATTTCAAAAATCCCTTATTTACCTATGTATCCCGTGCACAACGCTATGTATCCCGCATGTATTCCGCTATGTGGAATGTATCAAACCTAATGTATCCCGTGCACAACGCTATATCCCGCAAACATCATTTTTAAGGAATTTTTGGTAAATAGAAAATTAGAAGGGATAGGATGTTATTTAGTACTTATAATATGTGGTTCCTATAATTTATACAAAAAAGATTGAATACAAAAAGTCTAAATTTTAGGAATCACATAGTTTTAAACAATATATCCCTATTTAGTTTGTAATTACATTAATCCCTGAAAAAGTAAAACAAACCGGATACATAATAGGTAGCTCGGATACATTATAAAATAAATTGGATACATAATATGTAGCTCGGATATATTATAAAATAATTTAGAATTAGGAGAGAAATAAGGGATTTTAGAGGTTTTTAGAAATAGAAGGGAATATTAGAAATAAAGAAAACATAAGACGTGTATTTCAGTAATTTTTCCATAAAAGTAATCAGTTAAATTGAAAAAAAAAAAAAAACCCCAACTAGATTCTATTATTATATACATAAACTTCTCAATTGACAAATAAAATTAAATCATTTCATATTAAATTAAATAAATAGAAGATTACCAAAAGAAAAAAAGGTTACCATGCTTCTCCACATATACATAGTATAGAACAGTACAGTACAGTATAGTATAGTATAGTATAGTACAGTATCTTTTGATATTATATTATTGGCTTTGTTTTTCCATGATTTAAGAAATCATTCCAAGTATAAATGGTTTTTAAAAAAGAAAATGGTTGAGAAGGATCAAGTAGATATTAGTATAGCTTAATAATTCATCCGAATAATAGTTTTGATGAGATTGATATATATAATCTTTGGATTTATTATATATTTTGTAGACAAGGATGAAGATTGAAGAGGAAAATATGCAAAAGAAAATCTTGTCCCCCATTTCAAGCAATATGAAAACGACTCTTATATATACATGTTTTACTCCTTCTCACTTTATTTTTTATATATATCTATGCACTATATATGATCCTTCTTAATTTATCAACTATATTTTCATAATCATTTCTAGCTTACTCAATAGAATTAACATTTTGATTGTGAAAAACATAATTATTTATTTTAAGTTATATGCGGACATTATAAACACATATTAATTGTGACAATTAACGGGTATTAGGAAGGGGGTTTGTGAAACTTTTTCTAAAACATAATTAAGCTGAATGTGTTTGTTTTAACCACTTCAGAACAAATTACTACTAATATAGCTTCTGAAAAAATTAAAATAACCAAAAGGTTGATTTTGAGAAGAATAAAAAAAGTAACTTGTTCTTCGAAATCTTAATATTGCAAACACATGACTTTGTTGCAACAAAACTAAATCAAATGACATTTGACTGTTTTGATGAGTAAATTAATGTGATCCCATTCCCTTGTTGTAGAAGCAAGCTAATATGTAACATTAGGTGGGAGGTTCATGTCACTTACTGTATATGCTAAAATTTAGGAGATGTTTTATATTTATCTAATTAGGGGGTCCCATCCAATTACAATTACCATTCTATGAAAAGAATATCCCAAAGTCTATAATCTTGCCAATCTAAGTCTTCGTTGTTACAATATATACATATTATAATTGAGAAAACTACCTAGCTAGCTAGCTTTTAAAAGATTATTAATTTTGACTCACTTTCAATCAATTTCATTGTTACTATGTATGCCTTTAATTCACTTATTGTTACTATGTATACCTTTAATTTGTTAAATTAGGTCTTAGGCCTAACTCACACCCCAAAAGCTAGCTCAAAGGGAGGAGGATTGCCCAAGCCTTATAAGGAGTCCACCCATCTCATTAACCACCGATGTGGGACTTTTGTCATTCTTTAACACCCCACCTCACACCCAGTGCTTAGCATCTGGTGCTTGGGCAATTTTTGATTTGGGAGCCCCAACATCGGGTGAGACGGGTCCTGCTCTGATACCATGTTAAATTAGGTCTTAGGCCTAACTCACACCCCAAAAGCTAGCTCAAAGGGAGGAGGATTGCCCAAGCCTTATAAGGAGTCCACCCATCTCATTAACCACCGATGTGGGACTTTTGTCATTCTTTAACATAATTCACTTAAACTTTGAAATCAATTGGCAATAAAGAATGATAAAGAATAATTGTAGGGTATGTTAGGTAGTAAAAAGTAGTAAACAAATATAGGCTAAATGGATCATATCGGTAAAGACTACTAGTACTAGTCTCTAAGAGGAATATTATACAGCCAACCCACAAAAAGAATAGTTGACCAGTCTTTGAGTCTAAAATTATTTAGCTGTCATTTTTAATGTGTTAATTTGCAAATTGTAGTCACTTGAAATTTAAATTTAAATTTCTTAGCTAAAACACAGAATAATTGCATCAAATGGTGTTGTAAGTTTGAAATTTCAAATTTCATGAACAATTGATGATGGAGTTGGAACCTTTATCAATTCATGAAATTCCAACAAGGATTGATTGATTGATTGGTGGAGTTCATAGCTTGAGTCAAAAAATATTCATGCATATAAAGGGAATACCCGGAACTTTAACCAGAAGAGGTAGGTTCGGATTCGTGGGTATAAGAAAGCCAGTAGAGCTAAATAGAGGTAGAGTGTACTTCTACCTGAATTAAATAACTTGTGGTTAGTCATTGGTAACATGAATCTTTAAGATGAATACTTATGTATATAAGAAAAATGTTGCAGTGAACATTTAATTTGTTTGGGCCGTCATTACTTTCGGATGCTAGTTTTTTCTTCTTCTTCTTTTTTTGGCGTAAGAAGAAGGGAATTATAAGGGGGAATTAAATCTTTACCCAATGAATGAAAGTTTAAGTAGTTAACCAATTATACTAAAATTCCATGATGCTAGTTAAATACGTACATTATTATAAGCTTAACTAATTTGCCTCTTGGTATATATGTACACTACAATAAAAATAACTTTTAGCGGCAATAAAAATGTATATTGATAAAAAGTTTTAAAATCTTTATCGACATTAGTTAATTGTCATTGAATTAAGTGTCGCTATACACTTTAGAGACATTTTACTAAGAGTGCTAATTGGCTGTAATAAATATATTCATCGGCCATTAAAATATTGTCATAAAAGATTATTTTTGGTATAGTGATAGAATACATTTTGATCCTGCTTAATTTCGAGGTCATTTGATAATTATAATGTTTTAGGTTGGTGAAACAGAAGCATACATGCATGTCAATTTTCAAGAAAAAGTTATTATGGGATGGTAGATGGATCAATTTCCTCATACAATCAATTAGCTAGGTAGCAGTCTAATCAACTATATATATATATATATTAATATAGGTAATTATAGGATTAACGTCCTTTAAAACGTTTCCCATGGACCAATCAGAGGGCAAAATTAAAGGGTAAGAAAAGAAAAAAAGGGGATTATTTTTTGACTAATATAATTAATTAAACCCAGTTGGAAACAAGGAATAGGAAGAGTGTTAGGTGAAAATTGAAAGCTCATCGATGGCTTTAATTATTTGGACTTCTATCTATATATATGTAGTAATATAATTTCTTTTCCACTTTTTCTTTTTTTGGCAATTTGGTATTCTAGTTATCATCTTATTACATTGTATTAATTAATCATCTAATACTCTTTACGTGACTATATATATCTCTTCTTCTTTCAATTTTTTTTTCTCTTCATTTTGCCAGAAATGAATGGAGTACTACATTAATGTTCAAACAGAATAGAAAATGTTCAATGTACGTTATCAATTTTATCACAGCTATAAAATGGATAATTCGTTCAACTCAATCAATCAAAAATGAGTTGGAGAATTAATGTTTTTAACATATGAGTCGTATCCATATATATATATAACCCGCTATGAAAGATTGGACCATCCATAGTTGATCTATCTCGTACATTTAATTTGATAAATGTGTATTGATCTTTATTTCCAAGCTTACATACATTATACATATATAACAAACCATGTTCGGTCCAAGAACATAATGCGAAACATGTGTGGATCTCACATTTTAAAAAAGATAGTACTATTAACGAAACAGTATAATAATAACATATTTAATAAAGTACAAACAAATATGATCGAGATATTGCAAATTACATTATTTTTTCGTGGCGTTGAAAAAGAATCCACCCCACACCCCACAAAACTAGTCAATTCCG